TTGGCTTCACACACTGTACCAATGTCGGGAATCGAACCCGGGTCTTCAGCGTGACGAGCCAACACTTAAACCACTAGGCTACCCGACCGCCCCAAAACATTCCTTGCGTGAACCTTGGTCACAAGTATATGCAAGCACCTTCACTGACTAACTTCCAACACAAACACACGGACTGTGAGGTGTGAGACAGATCAAGCTGATCGTACAAAGAATGCATGTTCAAGTTGTGGGCCCAAAATAATATTGTAATTCCAACTTGAGATCTCAAGACGTGACCTCCGCCTCAGTATACACTACTGAACTTTTGAGAGGGGCATTGTCCATCAAGAAATATCACAGTGAGTCAGCAAGCTTGGTTAAACACCGCTTTCAACAGTGTTCCAGTTATATCACGGTGCGTCAGCTTAATGTGGAAGGAAACCCTAAAGTGATGCCGGTCTTAGATGTTGACTAGTTTGGTGAAAACAACGAGCACGGATATGTAGCTGACAAACCCAGAAACACAATCAAGACGAATCAGGGACTGAAACCCACGATCATAGGTTCCTGTCAACATAAGGGAAGCAACTCTACACCGAAAATTGAAGCACCTTAGACAACTGGGTCACCCATGCCCTCAGAAATAATAGAAGAAGAAAAATCAATTTTTCTGAGAAAATGGCGGAGTAAATCTAAAGTCAGAAGGCAAACAAAATGTTTCACTTGTTTTACGAAGGATGGCAATGCAGCTGATGAGGAGACATAATGTACAGCAAAGCTATGGTCCCTCTCAGCATATATGTAGTAACATTTAACCTCATCTCCCAGTAACACAAACTCCAGTCAACTTTCACAGCCTACGCAACCATCTTTTCAGTAGATTCTCATCGTTGCACATGGACTGTCTTAACTCTCTACTCCAAAATCATTGATACTAGACTAGCGCCAAATTGAGACTATTTTGGTCAGGTGAAAATGCTTGTCTTACAAAAAGCACAATAATACTGTCATTCAAACATAATATAATAATATTATATAGACAATGATAGAAGCAAATGTAAACAATTAATGGAAATTTTCACAAATTTTTAGTTCCAACAGTAAATATTTTTATTAATCTTACTAATACTTAAAAAAACAGTTGCAGCATCGAATAATATCAATGTCAAGCAATATCAATGCGTGGTCAAGCGATATCAATGCACGGTCACGGTGAAGGATATCAATGCACGGTCAAGGTCAAGCGATATTAATGCACGATCAAGGTTAAGAGATATCAATGCATGGTCAAGGTCAAGAAATATCAATGCATGGTCAAGGTCAAGCGATATCAATGCACGATCAAGGTCAAACGATATCAATGCAGTCAAGGTCAAGCCATGTCAATGCATGGTCAAGGTCAAATGATATCAATGCACAGGCAAGGTCAAGCGGTATCAATGCACAGGCAAGGTCAAGCGATATCAATGCACGGGCAAGGTCAAGCCGTATCACTTGGAAATAATCTCATCACAAGAATGTCATCTAGGAGAGAGTGAGTTTGGTCAACGCTGCTTGTTTCGGCAGTTATATCACAGAGTCACAGCTTCAAGTGGGAGGAAAGCCCAAGTGCTGCAGTCCTTCAATTCAGGGGTGACATCACGCAAAGGTAGACACCACTGGTCAAAACCAGTTAAAACTCAATTCAGACTAGTTTCAGATGTAACATAACTCTATATGGGGAGAAAACACAAGTCTTGCACTAAAGATCAAGAGGCTGTGTGTACACCAGACATGTGGGGGTATCAAGATGACCAACCTAGAACCATGAGGGTAAATCTTGGACTCGAACCCATGATCCAAGTGGCACGAGAAGATACAACTCTGCACGTGAACTGAGGGGCCTTAGACAACAGGGCCACCTGTGACCTCATCATCTAAGAAGTGAAGGAAAATGTCATTAATAATAAAATAACATCAAAGCATATGTATACGGTACGATTATGTACATTGTTTCTTTTGCATAAGACAACAATTTCTTTCTACACACACAGCTTCAACTGTACTTTATATTACAAGAGAGTTGGTATGTACACGTGATATCTCATCTATCAAAGAGGCATGATCAGCATACATTGACTATTTCACCTTCAGGAAGAGCCCAGTAACCTTGGGGGCACCAGATGTTTATCTTTCTTAAGTATGCGATTTTTATCCAAATATTTATTCATTTTTTTTATTTATTTATTTTTGAGATTAAATATTGTGTCCCAGATGATGATATGAAGCATAAAATTGATCTATACATATGCATAACATGGGCTTATCTAGACCTGGCCAGCACCAAGTACGCAGCAAATGTCTGGAAAATGTCTTAATGTTTGATTTGGATCTGAAGGTGATAAAAAAATCTTGGCCTGGTTTGGGTCCTTGAAAATTTAATAAATCTAAAATCTGATAGCAGCATTGTCATGTTTATTGTCAAAGCATTGGAGGCAAGAAAGAGACTTTGTCATTCTGAATTTTTCTTCTGAATTTTCCATTTTGAAGGTCTGCAGATCCAGAAAGCAAGCAAGCAAACAATAATGTAAACCCTCAGTCCACTGGCCACCACACCTTCATTGTCCTGGTAGCTGATCGTAGCAGGAACAGAAGAATAGTAACTCTTTGTAGACCACTTGTTATTGTCAAAACACATCATATTACCTAAGCCGACTTTGCCCAAATCTTTGGAATCTTCCTAAAAGAAAATTTCCTTCAAAATAATACTCAGAAGAATTTACTCTTAACACAGTCTGACATAACTTGAGCTTACTAGATCTAAAGCGCGGGACAAGCAAGCTGGTCAAGTTGGCTGACCATGTCCTAGGCCCTGGTTCAAACCCATCACAGACACAATGGCCCAATCCCATGTTTGGTGTCCCCGTCATGACGCCTCCGAGAGTAAAACCCACCTCATTCACAACTGGTCAAAAAGAAATTCCTAAGACTAAAAAAATCAACTTGTTTAAGTCGTTCCCCCCTTCGTAGTTGCCATGGTTACTGCCCCTTGTAACAGATGAGCTACCTCCTGTTCACACCTGTTGCCTGCAGTTCCTGAGATACAGAGTGGTGACTACCAGGTCAACACAGCAACCAGTGCATCACACACACCACACCATGCATCACACCATGGAATATACAACATGCTGACTCCAGTCAAGGATTCTCTTAGGTCACATCAATTGTTTTTCAAAAACACAAAGGGATCTTTTTCCCATCTTCTACATTTGAAAAACTACTTTTATATCAGTAGAACCCTGGCCCTTAATATTACCAAGGCTATTTTTCCTAAACTGACCAATTCCTTATTTCATAAGAAAACGAATTGAAAATACATCTCTCATGTGAAACAATAGCATGCCATGTACAGAAAAGATGGTGCTTTCTTGAAAACTGTTCCTGCATATAGAAATATTTCAATATAGTCACACAATGTCAGATAGTAAAAAACAAATAAATTAAGTACAAGTCAAACTAAGATTTACAAATAGCACGGAGAAACAGTCCCAGTGTGCATGTGGCTGCTTCCGTCAGTACCACTGGGGGACCAACCATTTGATATTCGGGGTGGGGGAGGTGTTAATGTACTTGGATTTTGTCTGGAGACTGAATTTTTTTTTTCAGCTGCAGCAGCAAATTTAGATATTCTTTTAATTAAAACCATGAGCCTAAATAATTAGTAACTATAACATTCCTCCCCCTCCATCCCCAATATGATCAAATGGTCGCTGCCGAAACAAGTGTTAATTGTAACAATCATGACTTCATTCCCAATCACCAACAATTTCACTATGATCAGGTTAGTTCTATTTAAGTTGTGGAAAAATCTGTAACAGTATCATTCAGAACTGATGCTCAATAGGCATTTGGAATGGATCTTTAAGGTTAACAACATATAGACACAGGTTATAATCTGAAAATAGGACATGTAACATTGTCAGTAATTTCAAAGCAAATCAGAGTAACCACAAATCATTTTATTCCACAATTCTGTAGTCCAAATGGACTAGGTGTTCATGTAAAATAACTCACCCCGACAAATTTTCACTCATTTTGAACTAGTGGTGTGGTGGCTACATCGAAGAAAGTCAATTGGTTTTGTTCTAAAATAAATCCAATTTCAGTAAAATCAGAGCTACATAGATATCTGTGGACATACCATGACAGGTCACTTCAGAATGACATATCATCCAACCAATCAGAGCGTTCCTTACGATATCGTGATAGTTAACGCCCAAATGTGTTTTTGTGTAGTGGTTGTGAGCACAAAGATCCAGTTTTAATGAGATTGAAATAAATCTTGACTGAAATTAAACTTGAACATCTGTGTAATATCATGACACCAATGGTCAAAATGGGATACTTCCATTATACTAAAAGAGTCCATTCTCTGAATTGAAAAACAATTGCAATTTATTCATGGAATATTTTCTTTTTAAACTGTGAATTTTGTGCTAGCACAACTTTTGCCCCAAGTCTTGTCCTTGACATACATGTATAACCAAATTTGAACCATGTCAGGATGAACACTACTCCTATACTGCACTTTCCTCCCAACTCACGGGACAGAAGACACGCTAAATGACGAAATGACAAACCTGTTGAGTTTATCAGTGACAACAGTCTCAGTATACAAAGCTGACATTCCCTGATTACCACTTGGTCACTGACCCGTGAGTGAGTGAGTGAGTGAGTTTTGTTTTACGCCGCTTTTAGCAATATTCCAGCAATATCACGGCGGGGGACACCAGAAATGGGCTTCACACATTGTACCCATGTCGGGAATCGAACCCGGGTCTTCGGCGTGACGAGCTAACGCTTTAACCAATAGACTACCCGACCGCCCCCACTGACCCGTGAAGATCCGGGGATAGAATTGGTCTTCAGCAACAACTGCTTGATGTAAAAGGCGACTATGCTTGTTGTAAGAGGCGACTAACGGGATCAGGTGGTCAGGCTTGCTGACTTGGTTTGATGCATGCCAACGATCCCAATTGCATGGGTCAATGCTCATGATATCAACCACTGGATTGTCTGGTCCAGACTCACTTATTCACAGACCACCGTCATATAGCTGGAATATTGCTGAGTGCGGCGTTACACAACAAACAAACAAACTCTGACCGAATGGAAGTGAAGCGTTGAGCACACGACCTGCAATGTTTCTTGGTCAATCTAAGTCTGCTATAGAATGGAGGCCATTTTGCAAGGATAGCGTGTCCTGTGTCACGTGTTTAGCAACAGGTAGAATTAGGTGAGATCTCGGAAAACATACTATTTAGATATTGACAAAATTTGAGCTGCATTTTTGAGATAAGGCCATAAAAGAATGTATCAACCATTCACACAATCGGGGGAATAATGTGATAACATACAACCATGTTAGAGAATCCTTCAATGAATACAGACAGCTTTGGACGACCACCAACTACCGATTAGCGTTGTAATATGCCACCTTCCCTGTTGTGAAGTTTACCACCATCACAGTAATATTGTCTACGGAGCCCCGGTAATATGCTTGCAACACGAGACTCTTGGCACCATAGTGAGGCTCTGACAGCCTCTCTTTCACATAGTCCACAGCTTCCTCGTTGCTGAAGCAATCCCACAATCCATCTGTGGCCAAAATAAGGAACTTGGGTTGAATTTCGTCCATGTCAAATTTCAAGACATCTGGTTCGGCTATCACAAAGTTTTTCTCCTTCAGAGGGTAGTCCCCGAGAGCCCTTGATGTGGCTAGCACACCAGCTACCCTCCACACCCCATTGAAGCTGATGAAACCCCCGGCCTGACGAATCCTCTTCCTTTCTTTCAGCTGCAAAATCATAAAACAGTTCAGGAATGATGACACACAATGACTAATATTTCACGGTTGCCACTCCTTCCGGTGCTAACCAACAAAAACATCCCAATGCAGCAACTGATCATAGTTTTCTGTGAAACGATATTTTCCATATATGGTAGTGAGTGAGTTAAAATTTAACGTCACATCGGCAATATTTCAGCCATATCGTGACCATCCATATATGGTACACATTCCTGGTAAACATGGTAAATGCTATTGCCCATGACATTTGTCATCTAAGAAAAAAAGCAACTGATGAAACTTTCAATAATAATAATAATAATAATAAAAATAATAATGATGATGATAATAATAACAATAATAATAACAACAACAACAACAACAATAATAATAATTTTTGTAAAGCACCAACTCCATTCATAAGCGCTAACATTACTACCCCCGGTCAATGGAACAGACTGCATTTAATTGTCCTCCTCAGCACCCTGGGGAGTATACAACCCAATCTGCCTTGTGGTGCTAGAAGGTTGACAGTCACACCTCCATCTCATCCTACTGGGTACCCATTTACTGCTGGGTGACCAGAGTTATATATCAAAAGAAGGAGTGAGTGAGTGAGTGAGTGAGTGAGTGAGGTTTAACGCCGCTTTTAACAGTATTCCAGTTATATCACGGCGTGTCAGCTTCATGTGGGAGGAAAGCCTGAAGTGATGCAGGTCTCAGACATTTACCACTTCGGTGCAACCCACGGGCACAGGTATTTCAAAAGAAGGAGAGGTGAAATGGGGTTTAACGTTGCGTCCAAGATTATTGCACTTATATAGCGACGTGCATGCACGTTTATGTGTGTGACTGCTTGTACTAGTCTGGACTGATGCCGATTTATAGAGCTAGCCCACTGATATACCATGCCGCATTTTAACATGAATACCCCACTCAGACACAGTATACTGACTCCGAGCCGACCAGTCCTTGATTTAGCCCCATAATGCCGAGTGCCAGACGGGGTAACAACAAATACCATATTTTAACGTCTTTTGGTATGATGCGGCCGTGGATAGAGCCCTGGGCCTTCCGCTCTCCACTAGTCCGTGGAGGCAGTCTTCAAAAGAAGGAGACACCATGTGTGTTACATGTGAGAACGGTCCAGCTACACTCCGGGACCACATCACATGCAATGTTTTTGAAAGACTGGTTCTAAAAGTCAAGATTTTCAAGTATTAGTGTTAGTGTTTTTATGAGTGAGTATGGTTTTTACGCCGCTTTTAGCAATATTCCAGTAATATTCCAGTGAAAGAGGCTTCACACATTGTACCCATGTCAGGATTCAAACCTGGGTCTTCGGCATGACGAGCGAACGCTTTAACCACTAGGCTACCTGACCACCCCTGCTTCTTAATGCAACAGGCAGACATGCACCAACATAAACACACCTATCTGGTTTTACTGCCAAGTTCCATGAATACACAGCACAAAGCATGGCCTGACTAGGATGATGGGATAAACAAGTCTATTGTAATTCTACCTGTAACTATGGTAACAATGTCAAGCTGGGCATTGTGTTATTCACGTACCAGCTGTGGCTTATGGTCGAAGGAGAGAGGGACGGCCTTGCCATCCTGATCACAGAGCACCCCGCGGGAGTCGCCAACGTTGGCCACAGTCAACTGCCTGTCCTTCAACAACGCCACCAGCGCTGTGGTGCCTGCACAAAAGAGCAATCACACTCTACCCTCTCAAGTCAACATTTCATATGACAATACATGGCAAATTTCTGCTACCTAAACAAAAATTCAATCGCCAACATAAACTACATGAAGAATTACTTAGCGAGAGTGAGTTTGGTTTAACGCCACTTTGAACAATACTCGAGTTATATATCACGCGTTGGCTTAATCAATATGCGATGAATAATAGGTGACGGTTTGTCAAAGCAAATGTAGAGATATTAAGGAACAGGTAATGACATCAGGATAATGTGATCAATTTGCTACAGTATGTGAGTGAGTGAGTTGGGTTTAACGCTGCGTTTAACAGTATTCCAGCTATATCACGGGGTGTCAGCTTCATGTGGGAGGAAAGCCTGAAGTGATTCAGTCTCAGAGATTTACCACTTGGAGAAACTCATGAGCACTGGTAAGATGCTGACAAACCTAGAAACATAATCATGGTGAACCGGGATTCGAACTCATAATCATAGGTTTCTTGTGTGCCCAAGGGACACAACTCTGCACAGGGAATTGCAGCACCTTAGACGACTGGGCCACCTATGTCCCCAACAAAGATGTGAGGGGTCACAAAATGTGTATATTCATATATTGACTGAATACATCATGATTTCATGACCAGTCAGAGTGGCCTCCAGTTTATGAAGGTCATTGAAGGGTCAATTTCAATAACTCTGTGTTGGAATGGTGTTGGAATGCAGTTGGAGCATTTCAGACCATTTACGCCATTTATGATGTCAGAGAGAAAATTTACCTTCAGCATGACATATGTAGTTATCTATAGTCATGGTAACTGTGTTTATCTTATTTTAAAAACAACAACAGTAGCCAGGAATTATGAGTGCTCACAGATCGGTGAAACCAGTTTGTTGTTTAACAACATTTCAGCTATATGACGACAGTCTGTAAATAAGCAAGTCTGGACCAGACAATCCAGTGATTGACATCATGAGCATTGATCTAAGCAGTTGGGATACTATGACATGTATCAACCAAGTGAAAATGTGTTGTCAAATGACTTTGATAACTGTTGTATGTCATCATACCAATTCTAACATGTTAGGGCCATACCATCAAATTGTGCAAGTAAAGATGACACAACTGTAAGTCATTATACAAAGTTATAGAGAAATTATACATCAGCGTTAGAAATTGGTACTAGTCCTATAATCCTTACCAAACTGCCCAATAGTAAAGCTATCCTAAGGACTAGTAGAAATTGGCCCATTTTAAGGGTTTTGCTGTATGTTATCAATATAAGGACTAGTGGACGAAAACTGTTAGTTTCTAACCCTGTATATCAACCATAACATTTTATAACAAATGTAATATTTGGGATAACACTTTCTTAGTAAAGTTCAGATTATCGTACATTTTGGGGTTGAGTCGCGGCTGGGATTCAAACCCACACTTGCCAGAGTGAGCATGGTGAGGCACCTAATCGCCAGAACAGAAATTTAGCGATTTAACCCACCAAGGCTTAAAAAAATGAATGTCCAACATCTGGTAGTCTAGATCACGTACTTTGAGTACCCTTCTGACAAGTGTAAATTGGCACGGCTCCCATGGCCGAAAGCTATGAATACACAATGCCATCTGTACTTTACTGAGAAAGTGTTATCCCAAATATAACATTTGTTACACTTGACCACTTTCTAAATGGCATTGTCTATTCACATAACATTTTAGGACAGAGAAATCATTTCAAATCTGTTGACTCCGGAAGTAGAATCAACGAGCAGAGCTCCAGATAAGCTTTTGGTGTTGTGGGTATTTTACCCATACTTTTTAAAATCATTGGGTATCAGTAATTCTATTTGGGTATTCAAATTTCTGTTACCCACTAGTTTTTACACATGTGGGTATTTAAGTTAAATATTTAAAAACACTATTCATCTAGTCCCTGCAAACTGGTGTGGTGTGGGTTCGAGAGCCTATAGGACTAAAAAATACCACGATACTTCCACAAGAAAGTGTGATGGCAAATGATCATGATGTAACTGTCATCGTGGAGTTTGGCAAGGTTGACGGAATGCCCGTTTATAATTTCAAAATAAGTTGCTGATTTGCTAATCGAATACGCAGGGTTACTTCACAATATTTTGATGATAAGCACAAGTTTTATTTTTGTAGCGTATCTGTTATGTTCGTTGCGTATTTGATACGCTTGGGTTTTATTTGACTGCGTATTTCTGCATTTCTGATGCGTATTTCACGCAGATACGAAGCTTATCTGGACCTCTGACGAGCTATGATTCTACTTCCAGAATCTCCAGATTTGAGTGATTTCTCCATTATTGAATCTATATTCTAATGTGGAAAGAATCAGTCACCTGAGATTTCCATGTTTGACTTGGCCAGACTGAGCAGCTGTTTGTCCACGGTGAGAAACTCCTCGATCAGCATCTGAGTGAAGTTCTCGGGTTCTTCGCCCAGTGAAATCTTTAGTAGCCGTATCATGATGCTCTTAAACAAAGTCTTCTCCACAAAATCTGCTGCAAACTGAGAGAGACACATTCCATGATAAACTACAATATTACTCATGTAACAATCATTCTCTTCACCTTCTCATCAACTGTACTTGGCATATCATTCATTCACCAGATGAAGGAGTAAGCATATACCCCGAAACGTTGTGTTCCTCATAATACAGAAGTAGACATTTACAAATTCTCTTCCTTAGCATGCTTTGTTTACTATTTAAAGGGACAAGATTTCAACCATTCTAAAGCTTTGTTTGAAAACAATTGCCGAGACCCCCGACTCTCCTCGCCGAGGTGTAGGCTGATCACACGTGACCAGACTTTCCTCTTGTTTGTAAACAAACACATTTTTTTCCAAAACAGGCCGGCCTTATGCAAGCCTTTCGCTGCCCCTTACATATTGTTGTGCAGAATTATGTAGATATACTACTACAAATGTGACAGTGAGGTGCAAGACAATATAGCTTTACACATCAAAGTGGCCGTATCTCTAGCTCTTCATAGGGCTTTGATGACTGGATAAATATGTAAATGGGAATAGTTTTTTTTAAGTTTTAGGATATTTATCAATTGCAGGTAAACATTTCATGACGAATGTTTATGTGAACGTGTAGAATCGTCACAATGAAACAGATGCCAAACACATGAATGGAATGTGTAAGATGTCACAACGTGACAGAGGTACTCGGCTGGCTGCAAAGAACTCTGGATAGTAGAGTGATTGGCTTTAAGCGAATGATGCATACACATATTGCGGTAATGTAGGCTTCGATAGATACTGGCTTCAAATCTTGTTAAGAAACCAGTTTACTCTGCACAGCTAATGCATTGTCAGCTTCACTGAGCAGAGCTCTATAGTTTGGTTTGAGAACTGAATCAAGCAAGTGATGTCACACTCAGAAATTATTTCATGTATGATTTAAAAACACAGAACCATTGACGTACTGTCCTTACAATCTATATGAAGTTCAAATGCAACTTCTAAAAATTATATAATCTGGTATAGAATATAATGTAATCAAAACATAACTTCTGAATACATTGTGAATAAGTGACAAATGAACAATACCTCTCCTCCATGGCCATCAAAAATGCCATATATAGACGTTCTTGTGTGTTCCAAGTCAATCACAATATTAAAACGGTCTTCCATATGTGGACGGCGGCCTTGTATAGCGAAAACTGCAACATTTTCTTTTTTAGATTCCCAGGAAGCTTTAGTCTTTTCTTGTGACACCTCTTGTTCACTATGCTCCGGAACATGGTCGTAGTTCCCACTTAGTTTCAATTGAAGCTTCACACGGGCTCTTTGGAACAACCGCCAGAGAGGTTGGATGTGAAGAAAAGAGTTGTACAAAAGTAGTAGCAATATGCACAATATGAACGCTTCCGGACTAAAAATATAGACTCTCGCAAATCTACTCGCGGCAGCTACCAGTGTCATGGTAACAGGATCACTGGTAACTGCGGCAGTATATCCTAAATACACAGAAAATATTTTTCCGGACACCTGTCATCTGGCTGCCATTATTGTTGATGCCTGCTGGGAAGATTAGCCATCCACTTCCGGTTCCAAAACGCACTAGTATTTGCTACACGACATATTACTCAACATAATGACTAGAAACGTTACTCGACTGTACAGCAGTGCTCCATTTTAACTTCTGAAAAAAACAGACAATGTATTGGATGGAGGGAGAGAGTCGTCTGTCTCGTGTGAACATTTCAACGCACGTCCCTCCGTCTATTTAGTTTTAAGAGAGCGGGATATGATTAGCTTAACCCCAGGAATCAATTAGATATTTAGTATACCATATATTCATCCAGCTTTTCCGCGAGGTAGGGTTTTTGACCGTCGCCGGCAATAGTGACCGGTAAGCCCATCTTGTGCAGTGCGTAATATGGAATGGTAGATTTGGTCTATAAAAATACATAAATGATATTTAACACCTAGTAAATACACATCAGTCGGCAAACCTTCTGAAAATCAGGACAAAACACAAGAATGCGTGACAAAGAGGCCACCAAACTCCGGAATTCAACATTTTCAGAATTAGTTTTTTTGTCGTGGGGTATGAGGTATATCTCAAAATGTTAGGAATTACATTTTCTATCCGACAGAGAACTTTCAAAGTAGTCCCTAAAGACAAATAAGTTGTGTTTTTACTATCTGATTTGTATCATTTCTTGCTGCTCAATATATGTTTTGCAGAAATATTGCCAATGATTCTTGTTCGAAAGAACTGTGGTTCAACTGACGATCTAAACATGAGATATAGATGGAATATATTTCAAGGAAAATACTATCAATGTGAAACCCGGAAGTACGGCACAAAGCAGACGACGTGGTAAACTTGCAAAATGAGACTAAACTTTTACTTGCTGTGGAACATAGCATTTATTTTATTTATTTTTATTGCGTTCCTTTATTTCATATTTTCTTCCTTGCAAAAGTAGGCACATCTCGTTGGTAGTCTTACATGCTTTATGCCATTTCTTTAAAACCGACTTCCCCAAAGTACACTGCGCACCTTCTTGTCAACCCAGTGTGGCGATCTATATTTAGATCGTGCGGCGTCACAAAACCATAGTGATAAAAATGTCGGCCAACTGATGAAATGGAATAGAGAATAGACGCGGCTGCCAATGGATATATTGTCAAGTCACGCGTGACCACCGCAATGGGAATATTTTGCAGGTAACTAAACACTTTCAATGACATAGTTGTGTCACTTCATTAAAATCATTTAATTCTCAATACGTTTTAGACCTATAATAAATAAAACTTCTAAAGCATATATGTATGTACATGTAAGTACAGCTTTAATGGCATAAAGTGACAATTCCTTACTTTGAACTATTTAGCCATATGTTCCAGAAAGAAAATGGCAGTGGAGGGAGACTGTATAATGATAGTCCATTTGATGATGCTTTCCCTAGACATCCAATATCCTAACGAGAAGGGTTACTACTCTCAGAAAAACACATAAGACAAGTGATTGATCAACTGCAAAAAAATGTTAAGTTCTCTGCTACAAAATGTGAAGTTGTGCACTGTATGGTAAACTATTTGTAGAATTGCAATGTCATTGTCTCAATCATGACATTGCAATGTCATAGTGTCTCGATCAATCATGACATTGCAATGTCAGTACTGAATATAGCTAAGTGTGTTTCCTTTAATGGATATATACAAAGCACCCCTAAGAGTGATCCGTCAAAACATTAAGTGACGAGTTATTATAATGTATTACATTGTATTTGAAACCTGCAGACAATTGCATCACCTCTTATTATCACAGTGTGCCAAAATCTTTTGAGGCTACCAACCCGAACCTGTCACTTGGCAACATTTTAAGTAGATCTTAGTGTTAATGTATGGACTTTTATTACCAAAGTTTCCTGGACCAAATGAAAGTTATGAAACTCAGGCTTCAAACGACTGGATAAAGTTAGAGACTGTTATCATGGTAGTTAATCTGATCACAACTTGGATTGCAGACATTATTGTATCAAGCTCATAGATCCTCTCTAGATATGTTTGATATAGTTCACCAAATTCCTAAGAAGATAATGGGTCACTGCCCTGTTGTGAAGTTAAGGATTAGCCACTACAGTTTTCAACTGAATGCCTCTCTTGTTTCTTGTGCAGCCAGCATTCCCCTTTTGACTACAAAGCTGAAGGTTTTAAAACTTTTCACATTTGATCATTAAGAGGATTTATTGAAATTGACTTGAATTGATTTTATTTGGTACACTGTATACAGCAATGATCGAAATTAACAATGACTGTCAATGGGTCCTAAAGGTTAAAATTAAAGAGTAAGGTGGGCGCTTGATTGAAGTACTATAAGAGCAAGTTTCAAGGACATCTTTGATATGTTACATTGGTATACAGTGTACACCCAACAGGCATTTTTCTAGCTTCATTAATCAGAGCTTCATCATGACTTAAACAATGTCATAGGTGTTGTAACCCAAAAGTTGATAGCTGGTCACACAAAGCAGTAGTTGATAGTTGGGCCAGACAAAGCAGTAGTTCAAAGTTGAGCCACACAATCCAATAGTTGATAGCAGGACCAGATGAAGCAGTAGTTGATACTTGAGCCATTCAAACCAATAGTTGATAGTAGGGCCAGACAAAGCAGTAGTTGATAGTTGGGCCAGACAAACCAATAGTTGATAGTTGGGCCAGACAAAGCAGTAGTTGATAGTTGGGCCAGACATACCAATAGTTGATAGTTGGGCCAGACAAAGCAGTAGTTGATAGTTGGGCCAGACAAACTAATAGTTGATAGTTGTTCCAGACAAACCAATAGTTTATAGTTGGGCCAGACAACATGGACAAAGCAGTAGTTGATAGTTGGGCCACACAAACCAATAGCTGATAGTTGGGCCAGACAAAGCAGTAGTTGATAGTTGGGCAAGACAAAGCAGTAGTTGATAGTTGGGCCATTCAAACCAATAGTTTATAGTTGGGCTAGACAAAGCAGTAGTTGATAGTTGGGCCACACAAAGCAGTAGTTAATAGTTGGGCCGGACAAAGCAGTAAATGATAGTTGGGCCAGACATTGCAGCAGTTGATAGTTGGGCCAGACAAAGCAGTAGTTGATAGTTAGGCCATTCAAACCAATAGTTGATAGTTGGGCCAGACAAAGTAGTAGTTGATAGTTGGGCCAGACAAAGCAGTAGTTGATAGTTGGGCCACACAAACCAGTAGTTGATAGTTGGGCCAGACAAAACAGTAGTTAATAGTTGGGCCAGACAAACCAGTAGTTCATAGTTGGGCCAGACAAAGTAGTAGTTGATAGTTGGGCCACACAAAGCAGTAGTTAATAGCTGGGCCGGACAAACTAATAGTTGATAGCTGGGCCAGACAAACTAATAGTTGATAGTTGGGCCAGACAAACTAATAGTTGATAGCTGGGCCTGACAAAGCAGTAGTTGATAGTTTGGCCACACAAACCAATAGTTGATAGTTGGGCCAGACAAACCAATAGTTGATAGTTGGGCCAGACAAACCAATAGTTGATAGTTGGGCCACACAAACCAATAGTTGATAGTTGGGCCAGACAAAATCTTTTTTAAAATTTAAAAAATACAATCAGTTATCTTTCATATCTTTCAGTATCTTGCCCCTTTTTTGTTTTTCATTCATATTAGTAGCAGGACTGGTTTGTTATTTTTTTGCCAACATTGAATTTAGGACAGAATTTGTGTTAACCAACTAATACTACATAAAATAACCTATCCACGGTCTCCACAGTGTGAATGGTGATGACTGACTTAGAAAGACTAGCATCATATTGGCAATGCACAGGTCAATTAGCAACGAATGGTGATACAAAATGTATTGAGTTGATATTTTTTGTTAACATGGTGACTGTAAACAGACAGGGAAACATCGATAACAGCCTGACCACAAATATGCTACTAATGTTAACAAATAAAGCTGACAGTTATTGATTATTTTACGATAGCAGTCCTAGATTTGACTGATTGTGAGATATTAAATAACTATATTACGAGAATACCCTACAGTTAAGTGTATTTATTGAATATTTTAATATGGTTGGAGTATTGACACTGATCTTATCAATTCCTCTCTAATATCGAAAACTGATAGTGTGATAATGTTTATCGATTTATTGGGTCGTACCATCTGGGGAGATGATTAAATCATCATGGTGTCTTTACAGTAGTGGCTGACAGTCAGAATTGGCTTGTATGTTTGGAGCAGGGGAGGTCGAGCCTTCCATTGTTTTCTGAAGAGGCAAGCACTTGAGTTGTCAGTAGGGGGGTATAAACTTGTAGGGTCATTATGCAAGGCAGTTTGAGTCAGATTGTATCTAGAGTGCCTGAAGATGTTTCATTGAGATGCTGGTTGATCATTGAACAAGGATCTTGCAGACTGTAGGTAAGAGTTAAATCACAGTGCAATTTTTTTTAAAATCAGATTTTAGTGCATGCTACCGCCACACTCACATGTATGTAGCAAACACTGACATCTGATTTTTATTAAATTGGATCACCGTGGTTTGTCATATTGTTGTAGGCACAGGTGGCCCAGTCGTAGGCACAGGTGGCCCAGTCATAGGCACAGGTGGCCCAGTCGTAGGCACAGGTGACCCAGACATTTAAGGCACTGTCATTTGTTATGCAGAGTTGTGTCCCTTGGGTATACCAGAAAGCTATGATTCAGATTATGGGTTCAAATCCAGGTTCGTCTGATAATGTAGCGTGGTTTGTCAGCACCATACCTATGCTTGTGGGTTTCACCAAAGTGGTAAACGTCTGAGGCCTGCATCACTTCAGGCTTTCCTCCCACATTAAGTTGATACACAGTGATACTGTTCAAAGTGGCGTTTAGACCAAATCAGTTACTCACTAAGCATATTGTCACACTGATTAAATCAAGTGCAGATGCAGAAAAAGCTTACTTCCTGTAGCCAAGATAATGAGCATAGTGATTAGGTTATTTGGTCATTGATCCTGTCATGGTGGCAGTTAGCTTCGTGGTTACTCTCAGTCTTACAGTATGTTTGA